TCTATGCGCTGATCGGGGATTGGAAAGCTGGAGGCGAGCTATTCGGAGTAGCGGCATCGTTCGATAGGGAGGAAACAAGCGAAGTAGTTGGTACCGGCAATGTGGAAATAAAAAAATTATTGACTGAATTTCTTGATATCCAGGCAGAGCCCGAAACCTTACCACCACAACGAGAGTTTGACCACCGTATACGTTTACACGATGAAGCAACCGTCGTCAACGTGCGACCCTACCGATACGCACACTTCCAGAAAAACGAGATCGAAAAACAAGTAGCCGCATTGCTTAAGTCGGGACTGATTCGGCCAAGTACAAGTCCTTTTTCATCGCCGGTTCTTCTCGTAAAAAAGAAGGATGGGTCGTGGCGTTTCTGCACAGATTATAGGGGATTGAATGACGTAACTATTAAAGATCGATTTCCTATACCAACCGTGGACGACATGCTTGATGAGCTACACGGGGCTAAGTATTACAGCAAGCTCGATCTACGTGCGGGCTATCATCAAATCCGGGTACATCCTGATGACATTCACAAAACTGCCTTTCGAGTTCATAATGGCCACTACGAGTATCTAGTAATGCCGTTCGGATTGTGTAATGCACCATCGACTTTCCAAGCTGCTATGAATGAGATCTTTCGGCCACACTTGCGGAAATTCATATTGGTTTTTTTTGATGATATATTAGTTTATAGTAAATCGTGGGAAGATCACCTACAACAGTTGCGGACCACTTTGCAAATATTGAGGGATGCACATTTTTTTCTAAAACCCAGTAAATGTTGTTTTGGCCAAAAGCAAGTGGAATACTTGGGCCATTGGATTTCACACGAAGGGGTAAGAGTTGATCAAGAAAAAATTAAAGCTATGGTATCATGGCCTTCTCCTAAAACTGTGCGCGCATTACGTGGATTCTTAGGGTTAACCGGTTATTATCGAAAATTTGTACACAACTATGGGAGTATAGCTCGACCACTGACAAACTTACTCAAAAAAGGAGGCTTCAAGTGGGGGGAAGAGGCACAATTAGCATTTGAAAAATTAAAAGAAGCAATGACGAAGACCCCTGTTCTAGCCCTACCAAACTTTGAGGAGGAATTTACCATTGAGACGGACGCTTCCGGTGAAGGCATAGGGGCTGTGTTGAGTCAAGGGGGAAGACCTATTGCTTTTATTAGCAAGGGGATCAGCGCAACAAAGAGGGCTTGGTCCACTTACGAAAAAGAGATGCTAGCGATTTTAGAAGCGGTTCGATGTTGGCGACCGTATCTCTTAGGGCGTAAATTCAAAATATGCACTGATCACCGAAGTCTCCGCTATCTTCTTGAGCAGCGTATTACTACGCCTGAACAACAAAAGTGGATAGCTAAGTTATTGGGATTTGATTACGAGATCATTTATAAGCCGGGAAAACAAAATAGCGCGGTTGATGCCTTATCCCGCCGCGAACATGCAAATCCAAAAATCGACGAGGGTATGGTCAGCGAGTCGGAGTTATCTGCTATTACCATACCGACTTGGGCCGTGTGGGACGAGATCGCCGCTGCCACTGCAGAGGATCCAAAGTTGAACGAGCTGAAAAAAAAGGGGGAAAATACTTCAAGTGAAGACGGGATTTCAGTCAAAAATGGGTGCGTATGGGTGAAAGGACGTGTAATGGTTCCCGAGGCGGGTCCTCTACGACAAAAGATCCTTACAGAATTTCACTCTTCACCAATTGCGGGACATTCAGGAGAGCTTCGCACATTCAAACGCATTTCACAGTTGTTTTCATGGCAAGGACTACGATCAGCGGTGCGGCAATTTGTGCGCGAGTGTGACACGTGCCAAAGAAATAAAGCTGATCATCGTCGGCCGGCGGGGCTGCTCGAACCATTGCAAATACCAGTTGTCATATGGGCCGATATAAGTATGGACTTTATTGAGGGATTGCCGAGATCGCAAGGGAAAGATACGATCTTCGTGGTAGTCGATCGATTATCAAAATATGCCCACTTTATGACATTAACCCACCCATACACGGCTAAAGATGTGGCAGCTACATTTGTGAGAGGAGTGGTCAAATTACATGGCCTTCCCACGTCAATTGTGTCTGATCGAGACAAAGTTTTTATGAGTAATTTTTGGCGGGAGCTATTTCGCTTGCAGGGGACTGCCTTGTGCACTAGTTCGGCTTACCATCCCGAATCCGACGGCCAAACCGAAGTAGTAAATCGGTGTCTTGAGCAATATTTAAGGTGCTTCGTTTACCTCAAACCAAGACAATGGGAAGAATACCTAGCATGGGCTGAATTCTGGTACAATACATCGTTCCATCAATCCATTGGAATGACACCATTTGAAGCAGTTTATGGGCGACCTCCACCACCATTGGTGCAATACATGGCTGGAACTGCTAATGTACCAGAGGTTGATCGAACCTTGAGGGCACGAGATGAGATTATTAAGGAATTGAAAATTCACTTGGCAGCCGCTCAGAATCGAATGAAGCAAGCGGCTGATAAACATCGACGTGAGGAGCAGTTTGAGATTGGCGACTGGGTGTATTTAAAACTTCAACCATATCGACAACGGTCTGTTTTCAAGAGGATTTTCCATAAGTTGGCTAGCCGTTTTTACGGTCCATTTCGCATTGTCGAGAGAATTGGCCGTGTGGCGTATAAGTTGGACCTTCCTAGCGAGTCTCGCGTACACCCGGTGTTTCACGTTTCATTGCTTCGGCGTAAGCTTGGGGATCAACAGTCTGCAGTAGCTACTTTACCACCTTACACCGTGGACGGAGAACCCGTTCTTGAGCCCACACAAGTTCTGGAGTCTAGGGTTGTTGCTGGAAATGGTGGCCGCGTGCGAGAGGTGTTGGTTAAATGGAATTCCTTGCCAGTAGAAGACGCCACTTGGGAAGCTTTGGAGGTGCTTGTCGAAAAGTTTCCCCACCTTAACCTTGAGGACAAGGTTGTATTTGAAGAGGGAGGGAATGATAAGCCACGTCGTAGCATGCGAACCATCCGACCTAACCGGCGCTACTTGGACTAGTTAGGATCGTGGCTCATGGGTCTCTATAATAGCTTCCTTATTAATAGCTTCTTTATTATTATAATTCCTAGTTATTATATTTTTATAGTATTTTAGTTAAGTTAGTCTTCTTTAATTATTAGGATTAGAATTATTCCTTGATTAGTTTACGTAGCTTTAGGATTGTCTTTCTTTTCTTTTCTATATATTTCAACCAACGTGATAAACAGAAGCACGTCGAATAAATAAAGTTTTCTCTAGTTTTTCTTGCAATTCTTGCGTAGAAAATCTCGGTACCAAAGCGATCGCATCATACTTCAGTTAGCCAAACGTCAACCTCAACACATGTACAAATCAAAACAAAAACTGCCAGTTCACGTGGTCCAATCCCCACCATCTAATTGTTATCGGCCAACCAATTATTTCTCGTTTTATTTTCTGCAACTTTCGGCAGTACAATTTTTCCCTTTGTTTGTTTGAAATTGTTACGTTGTTGGACAATTTTAAAGAAAAAAAATGACTCCATTATTATTGAAAATTTAAAACTACTGTGATAAAAATTCCTCACCTTCTTTTGATGCGACCCCATTGAATTAGACTTAAGAAGTTACCGGCCAACTAAAATATACATCGATTTATAATGTTAAATTCAAAAGTGTCATTCAAGATTTTGATCACCCAACATATATCATTATGAAATAATCATAACTTGATTCCGTAAAATAAACCGTACAAATCAAACAAAAGAATCGGAAGTACATACATAGTAACTGTTTATTTGATTTTCAGAATCTCCACCCCTTCTTCATTTTGCAATTTTTCGAGATAGACAATAACCGAGTCGTGACCTGCTCCAAATACTAGTGTGATGAAAACCAGCAAAACATATCTTGCATAGTGTTTGAGTAGAAACATTTTAATTTGGCTCTTGGAAATAGTAAAAATAGCAATCTAATTCTCATTGAAATCCCTTAGGGTTGTTTCCCTAGTATTCAAGTGTGACAAATGTGATTTAAATGTCTATGTGCGAACAATAACAATTAAAAAAACAATCAATCATACAGAATTCACAATTACGAGAAATCGCGTAATTTTTGGAACTTTGGTATTTGACTTACAGGTAGAAATTCAGCACCAGGGCCATTCAGCGTCTCTCCAATCAAAGCAGCGATTGCTTGGCAGTTTGGCTGCTGGATCAGACGGTGTTCCTTGTATTTGAAAGTCGTCTGCTTCATTATTTCCAAATAATGGGCAATTTTGAATCTTTTCGTCGCGCAGTAAAGCTTCTTCTCTATAATTGGGATTCTGATATCTCGGATGTTGTACAAAGGAAACATTCTTCCACCAGAGTTTGAGAGCCTAAGGCAACATATCGTGAAATATATCGTTAACGATAGTTTTACAAAGCGAGCTCAAGTAATGATACGAAAACACATGTATTAAAATGTACTCACGTGCCAATAAATCCACAATGCAACTTTATGAGGCATCAACCAGAAGAATCGTGAATGATCCACTGGCGTTAAAGAGGTCACTTGTTTAGCAATCAATGTGGCAGTGAAATAGTTACCGAGTTCGGGGTGTTGTACTGATATTACCACATGTAGATTTTCAGCAGGTTCGTTTGCTTTCATTCTCCAGTTTCCACGCATATCCTGTAGTTGTTTGTTTATCAGTAACAG